AATGACGGCGGAGGAGGAAAGGGATACGACGGTCTTAAGCTCCCCCTGTAGTGATCTTGTGGGAAAGCTGCTGCGGAATGTCGCGTCGCTTCCTTTTTCCTTCTTCCACGTCCACGTTCACTTGCCGTCCTCTGCTCTGTTTTTGACGCCATCTACTACAAAAAAGAACACCGCCACTCATGAGGCACGGGTACTCTTTGATAAAAGTGAAGAGGATTGTACAGGAAAGTCGGTGGTGGCGCGACTCGCCGGTGGCTTAGAACCTGCTGTGCCCTTTGCTGTAGGATCGCCTTTAGTTGTGCGTTGTGGGGCAACATGTGGGAGTTCTGCAGGGTATGAAGGTGTGGTGGCAGACGGGATGCCGTTTGGACATATTCAGTGCCTTCTGCGCGTGTGTACAAGAGGGGGGAGAAGTGACGGCAGTGAAGAACCGGAGGAAGTCGCAACAATACCCAAGGCGTGCAGCGAGCCCCCCGAATCCCTCATGCACGAGTCTAAAGCCTTTCCCGTGGCGACAAATGACCGTGAGAGCAATAAGAGAGAAAACGTTAATGATTGTCACGGCACTCCAAACGGAATTTTAGAATCATGGAAGCTTGGCGTGAGTTTGGACCCAAAGATACCCTTTTATGTGAGGACGATGACAGAAAAACGACCTGCTGCAGCCTGCACTGGCAGTACATTTGATGATGTCTTGTCACCATCTAGATCATGCGGTTATACCCTGTTAGGGCGAAGGGATTGTGAGACGTACATTCTGCCTCAGCGCGAGTTGCTTTTTTCCTTTTATGCTCCTGCGGAGGTGGTTACAATGTGTGCACAACAAAATGAAGAGCGAATGCGGCGACAAGCGGCATTGGGCTATAGTGGTCCGACGCACGCGTTTGCAGAAGGTCCACGGACAGCGAGTCGACTTCTGCAGGGAGCGCATTGCAATCATGTGGCGGCAGAGGAGGCAGCGGTAGCGGCGGCGTCCAAATATGGCACTAATTGTGGAGCCACACCGCAAAACGGTCCTGTCGTGTATGAAGTTCGGGCGCTGCCGGGTGACGTTGTGTTTGTCCCGCGGGGATGGAGGTACAGTGTGGAGCGTATTGTTGGTACGGCCATCATGAACGCCGCTGCCACGTCCACGCCCACAGAAGGAGTGATGACAAGGAAGAAGACGGGATCTGATGTTTTGCCATACGGAGAAATGAGGACTGCCTTCATGCATAAAAAACCCTCGACGCTTGCATCCTCGTTGGGGAAGGTGCGCAAGGTGTCTATAAAGACAGAATCACAACTGAGGTGCATGGAGGCCGCGGAAATATGTGGAGTTAAAGTGGAGGCCTTTTTACTGTGTTACAAACCGTATCCTGTGTTATCTGCCGAACAGGCCGCCGCATATGTCCCCTCCAATTATGTGCGCCGTGGCGTCGAGGAGTTTTACGCCAAGGGTGGGAATGACGTATTTCACAAGTACGTGTAATTTGTTACATGGGCCTTTAAGAAAGAGGAAGAAACAGTGAGGTGATGGTGGTCGCCGTCGTGTTGGGAGGGTGTAAATCGGTGTCTTTCTTTTTGTTGTTTTTGTTTTTGGTGTATTTGTTGTTGTTTTGTTTTTATCTTTTGAGTTCTTGTTTTTGTTCCTACAGCCCATATAGAGGTATTTTATTAAGTCAATATTTATATATATAATGCTCCGAGTGTGCAACAACGTGGAGGAGGCGCTCGAACTGAGCAACCGATGGCAGATTCCGTTACTTATATTTGTGCAAAGCCCTCCTTCAGAGGTGGGGAGGCATACTGATGCTTTTGCTTTTACAGAAATGTATACAACGTCTTCCCGTGGAAATAGAGTAATAAAGCCAACTTTTATGTTGGGCAATGGGCCGCTGGCAAGCAATGGAGGGGCGCAGCGGAAGGTGTTGGAAGCTGTGTTGCATCAATCCCGTTTGGATTTGGTGACAATTGTGCATTTTATGGAGGCAGGCTCGGAGGCACATAATCTCTTTATTGCTGCCGTGCCAGAGGCCAGCAACACGGTTCCACGTCTTCACGTGTTTCCATCTTCCCTACGAGAGCAGCCACGGATTGTGTTGCATGGCGTCGCTCTTACCCCTGGACGTATTTGTGATGCCATTCGTTTTGGGTTGCAGATGCCACCTCCAACAAAAGTTGCGAGAGCGAAGGAAGAATTCATGCGGCAGGTGGAAGAAATGAATGCGGCAGTTGCGGAGGGAGGAAGTATGGTGCTGTCAACGGGGGTTGGAATCACTGCTACTTGTGCAAGTGGAACGGCGTCTGGCACTGTTGCTGGGAGTGGGAGTGGGGGTCTCAAGGGTCTTCACTTCATTGAGCTTAACGGCCTTGATAAGAGGGAATTTGTCGTCACATCACCCGGCATGACGTTGCGTACCGTGTGGGTGAAGGTCGAGCAGGCCCTCGGCCGGGAACGGCAGGTGGCAGGTGGGACGGCACGTTCACACGGAGGCCAAACGTTCGTCTTGCACATCGAACCACCCGAGACGGCCACCCCAAACTCCACCAGCGGCGAAAAGGCGACTGGCCACGTGGTGGTTGATTCCGTTGAGGCCGCTGCCAAGATTGAAATTCACACAATGCCACACAACACAAAAGTGACGGTGGTGAGGAACGAGCCGAGTGCGACGGGGCCACAGCCAGTTGGGCCAAGTTGCGGCAGAGAGCCTCAAACCGAAAACGGCGAAAGAGAAAATGTGATGAGGTGCGACGGCGGTGTGTGTAGAATCGGTGGCAATTCTTTGAGCGGGGAGCCGAACATTGAACAACAGAAAGACGCCTTGCCTCCCACAGCCTCTGCTGTGGAAGAGAAGCAGGAGACGAAGCCGGCGCACAATTCTTCTATTAACAGAGAAAATGCCCGTATACATGTGCGTTGCTCCCTTCCGAGCGGCGGCGCCCACATGGTGGATGATCTTGACCCCGCCGTCGCCACCTTATCTACACACCTACGCCGCCCAATTGCAGGGTTGATCGGCCACGATGCCTTTGTATTTGCTCGAGTGTACCCGCCACATCGCTTTTCCCTCGAGGAGGAGACAAAACCCCTTGAGACCCTTGGGATGCGCAGCTCGTCCGCCCTGCGAGTCGTGCCTACTGGAGGCCCACCGAATGCTCGACAGGAGCCGAAACTCACAGAAGTCAACAAAATTGGGTTATTTGGCCTCGTTTCCTCGTTGCTGCGACGCGCCGGTGCGTCAACTCCCTTTGTTGGGACAACCCAAACAACAGCGTTGCCATTCGGTGATACGCGTGCCGCAGGGACAACTGCACAAGGGAGTCGATTCCGCACGATGGCCGAGATGCGTGCAAAGGAGGAGGAGGAAGAAAGAAGACTTGCTGCCGAGTCTATTGCGTCGGCGGATCTCACAAAAGAACATCGTCGGAAGAAGGCGAACCGGTATTACGGTGGGGGCTCCACAGAATACGCTGGATGGGACGACAACGAGTTGGAGAAGGAAGATGGGAAAACAGACGGTGAGAGCGACGTCGGTGAGGAGGCTACGGACCATGCCAAAAAGAATGCATAGTGTTTACCTTTCAGCGTGCCAGACGATGATATGCAACAAACCGAAAAGAAAAACAAACAAACAAACAAAAAAAAAAAAAAGAAGTGATGAATGGATGAAGGTGGGACAATATATATACACACCACTAGAAGTAGTAGACGGGGGAGGTGGAGGAACGAGACAAACGAGCGAAAAAAAAAAAAAAAAAAAAAAAAAAAAACTATTCAGAACTCTGCAACAACCATGCAAACACAAAATTGCATCAAATACACACACGAAAAGATAAAAAAAAAAAAAAAAAAAAAAAAACAGAAAAAAACTCAAACCAAAAATACGAGACAAAATACATACATATGTGTGTATATATACATATGTGAGGAAAGAAAAGGAAAAAAGAAAAAGAGAATATATATATATATATATTTATAAACATTTATCATGTTCTCTATACTCTTACGTTACTCAATATATATAAATACATTATGGTTTGCCATCTTTTTCTCTTCTGGTCTTCTTTTTTTCTTCTTTTCTTTTTTTTTTTTTTTGTTTTTTTTGTCATTTATCACTTTTAATGAGCGAATGAAATTTGACTATTACAACCACAAATACAATCAAAAGACGGGGTAAAATAAACATTAAGACGCCTTGGTCACCAATATCATTAAAACACAATAGGAAAAATAACATCCAATTCCACAAAGGAGAAACCAACAAATATAAATAGAAAATTTATTTCAACGAGAGAACTACCAGCAAAAACAACAACAACAACAAAAAAAAACGACTGCATAAATGAACCTAATGATTGCAAACAGGTATTGCATTAGTCAGAAGATTGGGGCGGGGTCGTTCGGCGAGATCTTCCGCGGCACAAACATGCAGACGGGCGAGACCGTGGCCATCAAGCTGGAGCAGGCGAAGACGCGCCATCCACAGCTTGCCTTTGAGGCCCGATTCTACCGCATTCTCAACGCAGGCGGCGGGGTCGTGGGCATCCCCAACATTCTTTTTTATGGCGTGGAGGGCGAGTTCAACGTGATGGTGATGGACCTGCTGGGACCCTCGCTCGAGGACCTTTTCAGCTTCTGTGGTAGAAAGCTGTCGCTGAAGACGACGCTGATGCTGGCGGAGCAGATGATTGCGCGCATCGAGTTTGTCCACAGCAAGAGCGTCATCCACCGTGACATGAAGCCGGACAATTTCTTGATGGGCACCGGGAAGAAGGGGCACCACGTCTACGTCGTTGATTTTGGTCTCGCCAAGAAGTACCGCGACCCCCGCACGCACCAGCACATCCCGTACAAGGAGGGGAAAAGCCTGACGGGAACGGCACGGTACTGCTCGATCAACACGCATCTTGGCATTGAGCAGAGCCGTCGCGACGACCTGGAGGGCATCGGCTACATCCTGATGTATTTCTTGCGTGGCTCACTGCCGTGGCAGGGTTTACCAGCTGCAACCAAACAAGAAAAGTACGTCGCGATTGCTAAATGTAAAATGTCTTTATCGCTAGAGACGCTGTGCAAGGGCTTTCCCGCGGAGTTTGCCGCGTACCTCAACTACACCCGAGGCCTGCGCTTCGAGGACAAGCCGGACTACAGCTACCTGAAACGGCTCTTCCGAGAGCTCTTCATTAGGGAGGGATACCACGTGGACTACGTGTTTGACTGGACGCTGAAGCGCATCCACGAGAGTCTTCAGGATGAAGAGAAAGAATTGTCTAACAATTAGTTTAAGGGAAACTTAATATGGGCCGCAACATGCACAAAATGCCTGAACAAAGCGGCTTAAATACTGAAGAAAAGTTGGAGAGAAAAATCTACTTGTAAACAACAATTGAAACCTTAAAAAAATATCGGATGATATCAGGATAAAGGAAGCAATGACGAAAAAAGTAAAAATAATACCCCAAGCAAACAATTACCGCCTTTTTTTTCGTATGTTGCCGGCAAGGTAGGAGTGAACGTCACACAAACACCTCACGCAACACACGATGAGCTTAGAGCTTCGAGTGGGTAACCGCTTCCGCCTCGGCCAGAAGATTGGGGCGGGGTCGTTCGGCGAGATCTTCCGCGGCACAAACATGCAGACGGGCGAGACCGTGGCCATCAAGCTGGAGCAGGCGAAGACGCGCCATCCACAGCTTGCCTTTGAGGCCCGATTCTACCGCATTCTCAACGCAGGCGGCGGGGTCGTGGGCATCCCCAACATTCTTTTTTATGGCGTGGAGGGCGAGTTCAACGTGATGGTGATGGACCTGCTGGGACCCTCGCTCGAGGACCTTTTCAGCTTCTGTGATAGGAAGCTGTCGCTGAAGACGACGCTGATGCTGGCGGAGCAGATGATTGCGCGCATCGAGTTTGTCCACAGCAAGAGCGTCATCCACCGTGACATGAAGCCGGACAATTTCTTGATGGGCACCGGGAAGAAGGGGCACCACGTCTACGTCGTTGATTTTGGTCTCGCCAAGAAGTACCGCGACCCCCGCACGCACCAGCACATCCCGTACAAGGAGGGGAAAAGCCTGACGGGAACGGCACGGTACTGCTCGATCAACACGCATCTTGGCATTGAGCAGAGCCGTCGCGACGACCTGGAGGGCATCGGCTACATCCTGATGTATTTCTTGCGTGGCTCACTGCCGTGGCAGGGCCTGAAAGCGCACACGAAGCAGGAAAAGTACTCTCGCATATCCGAGCGCAAGCAGACAACGCCCGTGGAGACGCTGTGCAAGGGCTTTCCCGCGGAGTTTGCCGCGTACCTCAACTACACCCGAGGCCTGCGCTTCGAGGACAAGCCGGACTACAGCTACCTGAAACGGCTCTTCCGAGAGCTCTTCATTAGGGAGGGGTACCACGTGGACTACGTGTTTGACTGGACGCTGAAGCGCATCCACGAGAACCTGAAGGCGGAGGGGTCCGGCCAGCAGGAACAAAAACAGCAGCAGCAGCAACAACGAGAGCGGGGGGATGTAGAGCAGGCGTAGCCCACCTGCACAGTCCGGGACCCTTGTTCCGCGCACTGTTTGTACGACGTCTTTGGACGTCCCACACGCTCCATTGTTGAAAATATCATTAATTTTAGGAAATGAACATTCTTCTCTTGCTTTGAGCACGAGGAGGTGCGTGCACGGTGATGTGTGGTGGCAGGTTAGGTGAATAGAAAACACCCGCTGTCTCCCTTTTTGCCCTGTGTGCCTTACTCGGCGCTCTCTCCGTCGTGCTTTTGAGGCCCTCTCCGTACGCGTTACTGTTCCCATGCTACGGTTTATTGATGTTTGCGCCCTGTCGCCCCTCCCCACGCCAGCGGTGACGACGCGGCGATTCGGCTCTCTCTTTGTGCGAAGAAGGGGGGACCCGTCGCATGAGCGGCGTGCTGTGCGGGGTGTTGCCCCTCTTCCTGCCCCCGCCAAAAAAATGGGCGCTGCTTTTTTTTCTCCTCTTTTTTTGCCGGCAAGGTAGGAGTGAACGTCACACAAACACCTCACGCAACACACGATGAGCTTAGAGCTTCGAGTGGGTAACCGCTTCCGCCTCGGCCAGAAGATTGGGGCGGGGTCGTTCGGCGAGATCTTCCGCGGCACAAACATGCAGACGGGCGAGACCGTGGCCATCAAGCTGGAGCAGGCGAAGACGCGCCATCCACAGCTTGCCTTTGAGGCCCGATTCTACCGCATTCTCAACGCAGGCGGCGGGGTCGTGGGCATCCCCAACATTCTTTTTTATGGCGTGGAGGGCGAGTTCAACGTGATGGTGATGGACCTGCTGGGACCCTCGCTCGAGGACCTTTTCAGCTTCTGTGATAGGAAGCTGTCGCTGAAGACGACGCTGATGCTGGCGGAGCAGATGATTGCGCGCATCGAGT